AAAAACAAATCGTTTGCATGCAGATAAAAATTTTAAAATACATTTTGTGGGGAATGTTGCAAACTGAGTAGGTTGATTGCCTCTATCTAAGAAATTGGTATATTTGTTTAAATTTTGTAAATTGAAGTTGATTTTAAGACGACACAGTTTAAGACTGATATTCCGATCCAATTGTTCGTCATATCAAGGTGTTTATACCCTCATTAGACTGAAGGCTATAGGATTTCCAAACTCGAAATACGACATTAACGTAACTATTCTAAAAAGTGGTCCTAAATATTATATTGCAAACAATTTGATATATTATATTTTATATTTTTTTTTCGCTTTAATAATTTTCCATGAGGATCTAGGTATGGTCAAGAACAACGGCCATAATTTTCGGTGATGATTAGATAATAATTTTGGGATGAATTGGAACAAAACCTTAATTTTTGGTGTTTTTTTGAGTCGATCTATAGACCACAATTGAAAGCCGATCACAACACAACCCACGCTGAAGGGAATCTGTACTGAATATTAGTAATATTTGTTGACCTCTAGTCGGTCAAGAGGGTGCAAATACCTCGAAATATTGCCCAAGCTCAGAATCAGAATATAAATAGGTTTTCGTAGAAGCAGAATATAAATAGGTTCACGGGCTATATATAAAATAGTTAACTGATTTGTTCCTCATATGGGGAATATTCTGTACTCGAAATTGTCAGTTTATACCCTACAAAGTGCGGAAATCTAAGACGATGTAGCCAAACGTTGTAATTATTCTACCTACGGAGGATATCGAGATAAAAAACAGTAAGAAAAACTCAAAAGTCGGACGGAGCCGATTTTATGAAATCGATCAAAATTATGTATGTGAGCTATACGTAAATCTGGACCTAATTGAGCAACCATGGTATACACGATTTGGTATGCTGCAGCAAAGTGCGTTGTCCACAATTTTATCTCCCTAGAAGAAACCTTTATGATTTAAATTCAGTACGCTGCGCGAATTTTGTCTCAATCGGACACACATTGGAAGTTTGGTGCACCCTTTACCTATAATCGGACTTTCCTCTGTCGATTTTCTTTTGGATGAAATACAAAACGAAAAGTAAGGGCTAACATTATATAATGGTGGTTATTAACCTATATTGGTAATCCTCAAATCACCGAAAATGTGGTTTCCTTCCCAACATTAGTAATTTTTGGTCGGAAGATTTGCTTCACAATGAAACCTAAACCGTCCTATTCAACGCTAAACCGTCAAATAGATTGGATGCTATAACCAATAGATTTATTGAGGAAATACTTCGCAGGGAATTTTGGGCCAGTCGATTTGACATCAAGATCTAGTAATATCACACCTCAAGGCTTTTTCATGTATGTATTCATGGATATATGTAACGTGTAAGACCGCTGAGATTCAAACTTGAAGCATTCACTAAATAAGATAATATTTGAATTAAAAAACAGAACGTCGACTACATACGCGGAAATATTCAACGTTATTATGAATCCATTGAATGTGAAGTAAAATGGATTTTTAGTTAGGTTTCGATATCATCACGAATTTCGGGGCATTATTTTCCATTGTTTACAATATCAACCACGATCTCAAACATACATTTCGAAATACAACTCACACAAATTCCCTCCACTTAACTCTGTAACCATCATATTAACTCCAATCCATTTTCCATTTAACCCACAATTTAACATATTTAGCCTTTTATGATTCACTGTTGGTTGAGCTTCTTTGTTTTATCTTTCCCTGGGACCTTTTGCAACTTATTCCACTCATTTTGTGTTTGCTTTTGTTTTTCGACTTTTCGACATAACAGCAACAAAAACAACAACAACAATCTACTTTGATACAATAAATTCAATTTTGTTGTTTGGCTTGGCTCTTATTTACCTTGCTTATTTTATTCTTTGTTTCATGCATTTTGTGTGTGTGGTGTATTAAGTATGGCTGCCTGTGAATGTGTGAAGGGAGTGTTTTTGTGGTAATTTTTGTAAGAAAAATTTACTCATAACTCTTACCTGTACTTGTTCTAAACCTCGAGTGTATGTTGGATTCTCAAATGCCACTCCAGTGGCTGCCTTACCATTTGCTCGATGTCGTCTGTAGAAAATAATGGCGGCGGCTGCTAACAGTACCGCCAAAATGCTGGCAACGATGCCGCTTATAGTGCCCACAGCATTCGAGTATGATGTTGTCGCGGAGGTAACATGATGCTCGCCAAGTGTGAATTTTATCGGTTCCGTTAAAACACTGGCACCTGGAAAGGAGGCAAAAGCAAAGAAAACAAGAAAATTAACGAACGTGTGTGGCAGTGATATAATGTGGCGGGACCACAAAACGAAACATGGTAACAAAATATGGGCTACCAGAGTGTAGGTATAATAAATATGTATTAGTACGTGTGTGTGACAGGAAGTTGTGTCATGACAGTTTGACAGACTTTGAAAAGGTATATTTTCCGAGACAGTTTGTATGGAACTTTTGGAGAATATTAAATTGTAAAGGCTGATGGTGATGGGTTAATAACATATGTTGCCTAAAAGTAGGCAACATTTATTGAAATTTTTCTTGGCTAATGAATGAACAAATATTGGTTCTTCTATTTTCGATTAAAATATATGTTTGCTTTCCAAACAAATCTAGAACTTCATGTTGAAATTTAATTTAAAATTAATTGATCTATCTACCAAAATATTTTAATATTTCATTAAATTTCCGAAACCCCCACATTCATTTTTCTAAATCCTAGTGGCAAGTGCCAGCCACTTAAGATGCTCACGTTTACGGCCATGGTTACCCAAAATCATTTCATTATTTCTCGTACATAAATTTTCCACACCTTCATAAAAACAAACTCACATACATACACGTAATGTACATGTGCACTTGACTTGTGCATCCTTCATTTGAACTTACCATAGGTATTGCCAGCTTTCACAACCAACTCGTATAAGACATCCTTTTTGAGACCATCTATATTCACACTGGTTTCCTTGACGTCAATGCGTCTCACCTCACTGCCACTTAGCGGTGGTGCCGTGATATTACCACCACTACCTCCCATTGGCATGCTTGTTGCATTATTATTCAGTATTGTTGGCTCGAGAACAGCAGCGGCACCGCTAACACCAGCACCACCATTTATTGTCTCGCTAGATGTCACATCGTTACCAATTATGGCCGCTTCATGGTAGAAAATGCGATAGCCATCAACAGCATTGGGATTTTTGGTTGGTGGATCCCATCTGTGGGAATAGACAATGACGGAGAAAACGAAAATAGCGAATGAATGGAAAGAGAGTAACATAACAAGGTACTAAAACTTGCATTTGTTATACATACTCTATATACTTATATGTGGAAAATATTCATATAGATAATTCATATGTAGATAATTAAGACTTAGGTATATAAAGGCCTCAATTTTTAAATTCCATATGAAAACAAATCAACATTTAGTAAAGTTTACGAAACAGTCTTCAAAAATCCATCATCCATATCATCGAAGTTTTGCATTGATTTCGATCTTTAAGCTCGACTCCCAAAAGATAAAACTGACTGAAAAAAACTATCATCGCCCATACAGTCAAAACTCAAATAAATAAAAATCAGTGAGAGGAACAGTATTGTCGGACGGGTTCGACCATATGATACCCTACACAACTACCGCGGAACTCTACGGATTAATATTTCGAGCCTGGGAATTACTTGGCTATATATAACCGATTAGAGGTCAACAGCTCCTCTTTATTACCCTGGCATCTTTTTAGAACCTTGTTTTCCCAGAGTGAACATTTATCGTGCATATTACATAGAAAGATCTTGGTTGATTTGACCCGCTTAATATTGACCGATCATTAGCAAAACAGCGCTCTTGATAGTTGGCCAGATTTTCTTGTAAACACACACAAAAAAAACTTTTCCTTCATTTTCATCCTCTAAATATCATACGATCTCTAAATATCATACGATCTTTACCTAAATATCATACGATCCATGCCCGCAAAAAAAAATCATAGCCATCAGCACGACTTTTCCTCAATATAGTATTGTAAATATTTACGTATAACTCCAAACTTCCGAGTACATACAAAAATGATTGGTATCAATTTAAAAGTCAAACAATTCTCTTGGATATATTGTCAACTCCTCCAGGATATATCCTTCAAAATAAACCTACATTAGCAAAAATAATAGGGTTCTTCTTGGCCAGAATCAGTCGTGACGATTGGTCCATAATTATCGCACGTATTGTGTTTACAAATTATAATGGACAAAGGGACATACATGTCTAGATCGACTCAGCTAGTCGAGATATTACGATCGGTATACTAGGACCTAGGACTAGGTCTAGGACCAATATTTGGCGGCGTTACAAACTCTTGGGGTCACAAAAAACTATAATACTGTGATACGCTTAAACAACTGCGACACGCGTCGCATAATGGCAAGAATTTTCTGATCGCAAGAATTTTCTGATCGAAATTTTATCAATTTGGAGTTCCTCGTATAACAATTTCCAATATAGGTTCATACTTTTCAATATAGGTTCCGCTCCGCTGTGGCTGTAAGTTTTCGCATAAATATATAGCGTAACTAGTATAGTGTACCACACTACAAAACAATGGCACCCAGGTTCGAATCCCAGAGAAAAAAAAAAAACAAATTTTGAGAGAAATTGTAACCCATATTCGAATTGCAGATTTTTGAAGACGAAACAAAAGTTCTGCTGATGGAGGGACACTGCAAACAGTATTATTGAGTTTTTCCAATTATTCCTATATCTTGAAGAATATAAGGATCGTAAGGTTGGATCGAACTTAACGAATCCACTATTCATAACAGAGATACAAATTATATAAACCTGACTATTTTCCATTCTCTATGATTGTTGCGGGTTCATAGATTGGAAATGGTTTCCTCGAAGATTTTTTATATGTCCATGTTTAGATATATTGGAAATGTCTTAGAAGAGTTTTCTGATGGAAGTGTCTATATTTTATCCTTTTGAAGTTCCTCGTATAACAATTTTCAATATAGGTCCATATTTGAAGAAAATACCATTTAAAGGTTAAGATCCGCTATGGCTGTAAGTTTTTGCAGACATATATAGTGCTATTCCAAATTTAATGGGTGGCTTGGTGCAATGATTAGTGTTCTAGACTACAAACCAATGGGACCTAGGTTCAAATCCCTGAAAAAGAACAATTATTATACTAACTAATCGACCCTGCGGATCTTCGAAGACGAAACAACGTTCGTGGAAGAAGCACTTTGGAAACTGTTTCGCTTGAGCAATGTAGTGTGACCACAAAAGGTCTTTCTTAATGACTGTATCACCCAATAGCAACATCAGTTGGACAATCGATTATTTAAATGGTTTAGAAATAAGGAAAGAAGATTTCAAAGAAAACGTTTCCACAAGTCCACATATAATACCGATACAAAACGATGGTGGAGAATTGTCTAATACCGGAAGTATTTAACCCATTAGGAAATTCTACAACCAACGAACGGCATACAGGTAGCAATGTATGCGGATGATTGTTCGATCATGACGTCGAAGGAATTTGAAGATATCCGCTCGCCAAATCCGCAGCCACACTGTTCACCACGTTGTCGTTTGGAGTGAAGCTTCTGCCAAACATCATGGTCAATGGTGCACAAATTTCGACAACAAACCACTCAAAAAATTTGGGGGTATCGAAAAAGAAAGCCTTTTAGAATCCTTTATACCAAATTACAACCCCATCGGTTGGAAAATGTAGCCAAAGCCTTTAAAATGCCCAAAATGGGATGGTATCGTTCTATGGGAGCTATACCAAAACGTAAAGTAACATTGAAAATTTTTGGTAGAAACATTTGACATCCCATAGCAATTCGATTGTAAAATATGCCCAAACATCCCCATAAAATACCTAATAATGAGAATCCAAAATATAACATTACAGCTAATTTGGATCAAGTACATGCCCAAGCTCCCCAAAATACCGATCTTTGGGGTGAAGCTTTATAAGGGATCTTCCATAAAATTTGGACCAATATTGAAATATACGATAGGACATACAGACGGACACCCATAAATCGACATATAATGTTATTCTGTTCAAAAATATATGTACAGTATTACGATTACATAGCAGCAGAAGAACGACAGTTTCATAGGGTATCGAGCGTGGTTATAGTCTAGCAGCCAGAAATATCCCTTCTATGCAAAAACCATAAAATGTCTATCATCCGCTAATGAAGCCTTGCTTTCAGGCTTTTACTTGCTTGCCAAAATCCCCACCGTGGCGCAGCCGTGGTTAGACGCTAACAATATTTTGAAAAGGATTTTTCCCTTCAGTTTTCACAATGTGTTCATGCATGCATGAGTGCTTGTGGTTTCTGCTGTCATGATGCTGATGTCGACAATGATGATAACGATGATTTTGGCCGTTTCTTTATCTTTTACGCTAGTTTCCACCACTTTGAACATGTTTCTTCACACAACTCGTTCGTGTAGTTAAAATGTTTTCTCAAGGGAAATTGTTGGTATGATGGATATTTTGGTTTTTTGGATATTTTTTGGTGTTTTGGATATTTTTTAATTTCGTCGGTTGAATTTTAGCTAATTTTCTTTAACTTTAGTGCCAGGAATTTGGCATTTTAAGTTATCGGTGGATAAAATGTCTCCTTGGAGAACATTTTGAATATTTGAAATAGCTGCAATATATGTTATATCACATAGGACCCATATTTTCATTATTCAAGGTGATTTTTTACCATGTTTTGGTGTAGCCACCATATAGGGACCCTTAGGTATTTTGGCAGAGTTTAGGTATTTGAAATACACATATTATGTTGGAGGTTATAAACAGTTCGACCCGGCCGACTTTGGCGTCGTTTTACTCACATTTCTTATTCGTTTTTAATTCTCGTGGTGGAAGTTCCTGCCATATCACTCACACTTTCTTCACATATGAAATTTTGTTCGTCCAAATTTCAGAAAAATTCAAAAATTCAATGAAATCCGAAACAAGACAACACTGAGTCTATTTATTGCTCTACTGCAGCTGTCATTGTTTTTTCCTGCACCATTGTTCCGTCATTCTGGCAAAAGACCACTAAAGTGTGTAAGTGTTAATAGCTCGAATTGGAGCAAAGAATAACCGAGTGCTATCTTGGCAATTTCAAAGCCATCTAGCTAGTCAAAAGAAGGTCAAAGAAAGAATGAAAGGTAGACATACGTAGAAAATAAATGAAACGAAAAGAACATTTTCCTAACTTTTCCAAGGAAACAAGCAAAAACCAGTAAGGAAAGTAGTAAAGTCGGACGGGGCCGACTATACGATACCCTTCACCACTATGGGTATATTAAACAGGACTATTAACATGAAATTGGATGAAATAAAATATGTGTTATTTATCTAAATGTGAATCTACCTAGATCTATCCATAAAGTATGTAAATCGACTTCAAACAAATATAAATATGTCATCCGTTGGGCTATGTCTGTACTTCTAGAAAACGCAACTACCTTATTCTATGCTCAATTTTGTACGATGTACAAAATTTGATGTCAATCTGACTAACATGAGGAGTTTGATGTCCAATTTACTTGAAATCGGGCGGAAATATATATTTGGAAACTCTAACCAAATATTAAGCGATTTCAAACAAACTTGTCACAGGTTAGGTTATACTAATTTCAGAACGTTTTGTTCCTATAGGTTCTTTGGTGCGTCAATTACTTAAAATCAATCTATAATAAAAGGGAGCTATATCTAAATCTGGACCGATTTTCACAAAACAAGGCAGACATCACTCTAGGCTCAAGTCAGTACGTTATGCGAAATTTCGTACAAATCAAAGGACATATATACACTTTGGTGCACCATTTACATGAAATCGGACGAAACAATCGAAAGATATATAGGGACTTTGGAGCACCATTTACAAGAAATCGGACAAAACTATATATGAGAGCTATATCTAAATCTGGACCGATTCTCACGAAACTTGGCAGACATCATTCTACACCTAAATAATTAGGCTGTACCAAATTTCGTGCAAATCGAAAGATATATAGGGACTTTGGGCACCATTTACATAAAATCGGACGAAACTATATATGGGAGATATATCTACATCAGGACCGATTTTCATGAAACTTGGCAGACATCATTCTAGGCTAAATTAAGTACGTTATGCCAAATTTCGTGCAAATCGAAAGATATATAGAGACTTTGGTGCACCATTTACA